ATAGTGAGAGTAAATGGAGTAATCAATATACTGCTAATGATAAAATCTTGTTCACAGAACATTCTTGTGAGATTCTCTCATATAACATATATCACTCACCAGCGTGCCTAAGTCCTTTACTTACTCTCAACTCATCTTCGTTTAAACTGCTCTTTGTATCATCAAGCTCTTATAAGGTTGTGAGTCGACGAAATCAACTTCATAGATATACGAATTCAGTGAATGGATGATTCTTCCATTTCGTCTCGGCCTTAGTTCTGATTTTTATCTGAGATTCTTGAGCTACTTAACCTGAGTGCTCGTACGCTATTGGAATGTCAGTGAGCATGCATGCCCCTAGCGTTTCAGGAGATTGTCAGACGTTAGATCCACCGAAAAGGTTTTTCCGGCCGAAAATCTGAGCCCTGTGCCGATGCTCTTCAGTCAATACGAGGTTGCTCGTATTCCTCGCAACCATTTTTCTCTGTGGAGTGGACATCCGGAATTACCAAAGGAATCCCAAATTCCACGCCTATCAATTTCATGACGAGTTGACGTGTTGGCTCAAGATCTCGGCTTAGAGATGGCGGAGAAGACTTCAAATCTATTCGGTATGGAGCCTCCAGATCTCAACAGCCCCAGGGCTGAGTCGATCTATTCTTAGACGCCTTGTAGATTCAAGTTCCAAACTTCCTTCCAAAGCCCCCGATCAACTAGGGATTTGACCCGTGTTGAGAGATGGTTTCATCGATTTGACAAGAATAAATCGATCACCAGCTTAGCTACCTGTGAGCTGAAATTCGGCTTATATCCTTTCGAAAATACGCTATAATTCGGTGGAAGAATCAGAAGGGAGACAGGGCAGAAGTGCATCCTCCCTCTCCTCTCTGTCGGTGAAAATTAATTGTAGAATTCAAAACGCGGGGCAATCCGACTCGCAGCATGAATACTAAGCAACGAGAAGCTTTTGGATCAAAAATGGGCGCCCAATCGGCTTTTTATTTGCTAGCACCCCTCGTATGATATCTGTAGCATCGTGCGTGCGAGGCTGTGTTTTTTTTTTTAAAAAAAAAAAAAAAAAAAAGCCATCGAAACATCTCCTGCCATTGAGTTTCGACACACAACCTCTTGCCGGACATCCAAGTCGGATTCTGGCAGTTCGTCAATATCCAGACTCTCCTGATGTCCTATGAATGCGCTGCCTCGATCTTGTGTTTGAAAATCCATCATCCGCCTTTCTCAGAGGTGTCTGCTTGCTGTCTGCTTGTATCGTTTTTGCTAGTTATTTATAATTTTCTGACCTGATCCCTGGTCGTCAGATCTACTTTGCGCCGTTTCCCAGGGATCAAGTTTCTGGTGATATAGGCTAAGAGTCAGGCCTCCACACATGGAACTAATGTTTTGACTGGAAACGAGGGAAATGATATTCGAGAGGAGTCCCTGTCTCCTCAATCCTCAACATCTTCCATTCTGATTGTTGGGGCCGCTCAGATTGAGAGCTCGCATTCTCCTCAGTATATAGTCATGCGGTATCTTGCCGCCTATATTATGTTCATCTCAACTTGGGCTTGCCTATTTGCTGCTTCATTGGCAAGCCCTGTCGGTCTCTCGCTCCGAAAAACCTCATCTTGCCCCAGTTCTCACGGGTGGTATGTAAAGGATGGGGCAGACTTTCCAGGGAAATGTGTCCCAGTCTCCGACCTAGACCAACAAGCCGGGACGTCAAAAATACCGAATATAGAGAGACAGCGGGAGCGGTTAATTGGTCGGAAGGGACCATCCCAAAGCAAGTCCAAAAGGAACCGAATACTGCTTGGTAGCGCTGGAGAGAAACGACAAATTATCGAAGAAGAACCTCCGTGGGAACGCGATCCGCTTTCTTTCTTCACTGATTTTCTTCCTACCAGCTTGACTGGGTTTCCTGGTCCTCCTCAATTTACCACAACACTCGCCGAGGATCCTTTTGAAGAGCCGTTTCCGAGTTCCGCTATAATATCTGTAACCATAACGATCACCGATGCACCTGCGATTACTTCTACTCTGCGTACTTCCGTTGCTTTGTCCACCCCTCTCCCTACCAAAGCCCCAAAGGATTCGGAAAGGTCTAAGCTGGACGCCGGTCCTATTATCGCTGGTTGTTCTATTGGAGGGATTGCGCTTATTGCCATCCTCTACCTCGCCTTCGTGGCCTGGAGACGTTCTCGGAATAATAAAAGAGAAGCTGAACTGAACGCACCACCTCCGCCATATGTTCGTCATCCCTTGAGTGAAGGAGGAGGTCCGCAAACAGGATTTGTAGCGCGTGAGGCCACACAAGAAATTTATCCCCCTATACAGGCGCGTGATGGCTGGTGGACTCGAGACTCTGGCTTAGAAAGCCCACCAGATGACGTGTTGGAACAATCCCAGCCTCAGCAGCGTCGTATATCAAGCCGCTATTATGCTGCAATTGTTCCCACTGATGTCGATTCCAATGATTCCAACAACTGCTCGACGCCCCAGTTAAATTCACCAAATACTAAAAATCGGAGGGTAGCTCCGTATACGCAAACATCCAATCCCTCGGAGCCGTTTACCAATCTTGAAATTGTTACAGAAGAATCGTCCCATAGCAATCTTCTCCCAATAGCTCCAGGGGCACCCAATGAATCAGCAGAAACAAGAGCAGCAGGACAACGAACTAGCTATAGATCCCGGCGTGATTCCAGAGATGTCGTCCGTCGTAGTCTCTTCGGCTCTTTAAGCAGTGTCAACTGCGATACCGGCCCGGAGCAAGGAACCACTGGTGACCACTGGCAGCAGGTCTCATATCAAACCCACACAAATTCCGACGGACACCTCGATGTCTCCCCCATCGAACCAACCGATATTGATCGTTTTTCATTAAATAGGCAGAGGAGAAGCCCGCCACTATCAATCGGTACGCCACAACGGTGGCCTTCAAATATCCGCCCCAATTCACCTGTCTCAGAAAAGAGCTTTGAAGATTCGCCGGGCCCACCTATGCTGGGCACCAGTGCTCCTCGATGAGGTCCTCCACAGTGAAGTTTCCATTTAGTTTCGATTTCATGTCTGACAAGGGGTTACATATTTGTATCCACATATTTGAGGAAGAGCAGACCTTAAAGCAAACAAGGGCTTCACTGGTTAATTTAAATGCGTTCACCGTCTATCTATCTCTTCTCCATCTCTACCCCTGCCTTTTTCCTTTTTGTCTAATGGCGTTATTTATTTTTTCATGTTGTGTTATATACTCCCTGGTGTCCACTCGTTGGCCTCTGTCTATCTATTTCACAAACAGTTGAAGGTCGTTTTGGATATTTGTGTTGTATTCTTCTCTCTCTTATTCTCTGCATTTATGCGTTGGACTTTTCATACCTATCTGCAGATCTTTATTTTTTTTTATCACACCTTTCCTACTATACAATGACTCCAGTAGGCGGGCAGTTTCTTTGTTGAATGCCGGTGGTACGGATGTTCAATATCTCTTAAGCTCGA